GAGGACAAAAGGAGAAGGAGAGGAGGAGAAGAGGAGGGGAGAAGGAGGAGAAGCAAGCAAGGGGAGGAGGAGGAGCAGAAGGAAAGGGAAGGAGGACGGAAGGAGGAGAGGGTACGGAGGGATGAGCAAGGACATACCCTCCGCTCCGTACCCTCCCCTTCTTTAGGATTTCTCAGATTTGTAAACGTCTTTCATTTTTTCCCCAAAAAGCTTTTAAATTGGAGAAAAACAATCTCAAGTTTTCCCCTGTCAAAATAATGACGCCCCTGTAAGAAAAATGAAAAAACGCTTGTCGGAATCTAATTGCTGCTGTGATAAATGGTAGAAGTTTAATAGACAAAGTTGAAGAATGTGCGGCTTTCATTGCGTCCGTAAAGCTGATAGTGCATTTGAAACATAATCGTTCTTAAACCCGTCTTTCTGCGAGAGTGAGGTGTTCTTAATATAATGAGTTTCATTATGGGAAGGAGAGGCTTCGCACAAGCGGAAGCTGTTACTGTTATTTCGTTCCTCTCTAAAGTTATGATCAGGATCAGGATGACATTCAATCAATTTTGTGGTCAGTTCCTTCATCGAATAATTCTTATTACGCTATGGATACGTTCAACTAGCCGAAAAATTTAGATTTCAAGGCGTTGCAAACTTTGTGTAATATAGTTTCGGAGGGCTCTGGGCAGCCTATGTTGCTCGCGGGAGAGTGTAACTTTCCAGGGGTCGAAATATTGGTGGCAGTTTTGTATGGAAAGTTAGTATTTATTTTAATTGAGAAACGAAACACTTCGAATATACCTCTGGATTGCTCCATATGTGAAGGACGGAATTTCATATAACCATATTTTATATATTAGTTTAGCAGTGCGCCCAACCTCATAACTTACGTTCATAGTATACCAGATATAAGTAATCATGACAACTTTCTTGCCAGAATCAAATCTGAAATTAACCGATCGATAGGATGCGTTTCAAGGGAACTTCTTTACACTGAGAAAGGTCATTAAACTATGTCCTAAGAGCTCATAGGCATTTGCTGTGCTTTTAAAAGTCGCGCAGAGGACTATAACTTTCATGCACAATGGTTGGTGTTTAAAAATTTCCTGATCGAATTTACGAATAATTATGTTCAAGAATATATTCTGGCAGGCTTTAAAGACGGGAAACAAAGCTGGTTAACTTCACGCATTCATATTATAATTAGTATAAGAGGGGCAATCCTTAAGTATACGACCACAAAAGGTAACATTCACTTGAATAGATTATCTAAAGTGAAGCATGATTATAAACTTATTATAAAAGTGTGAGGGAAGTATACTTCTACAGACTCAAAGACAGAATGACAACTACACCCAATGTTTCGCAGTATATAAAAGGTTTGGATGATATGTTATATGAACAAAAGAAGGTGACCAAAGCCAAAGAGTAATTTTCGACGCTAGGAAAAAATCGACGTTCTTAAATGCTTATTTTCAATGCCCGACGTAAACTGTAACAACAGCTTTGGAGAACACGCATTCCGTTCGTGGAACCAGTTGGACTAAACGCGAGAACAATTAAGAATCTTCAAAAGACTACCGTAACACCGCAGCAAGGAGGAAATATTATCTTTCTTTGGCAACTTTCTAACACTAACCGGGATTCGGTGTAGCTTTCCCGAGGAACGGTAGAAATACCTGGCTGGTTGTGTCATCTAAGCGGTTTCTCAAGTTATAGAGCTATTATGTTGTCAGAGGAAGATAACGTTTCTTCCTCGCTAAAAGTCCTCCCTACCGAGGAATTCTGTTGCCTTACTGTTGTTGGGACAGGAAACTAGAAGAATTCCTCGGCTTACTTCATTTTCGTCTTTTGGGGGAACCTGTGGAATGGAGATGACCAGTTGGTGGACGAAGGACGTGCACGAACTAGTTCGAGGATTCTCGTTCTTGGCCACCCCAAAGAATTGCCGCCTACCAGGGTCGTTGGACAGCCAGAGGCGCTTCCCCCAGCCACAAGGCGAGAATCCGTCGCGATGAAGAAGAGCAGTGGCAAATGTCAGCCCTCTAATCAGACATCTTGCCTTTATTTCTGAAACAGGCTTGACCTTTGCCATTTCTCTACTTCATCATCGCACGTGACTGGGGAAAGCTCCTTTCGCGGTCCAAAAAACCCGGTAGATGGCGGCAAAAAAACAAACAAAGCAGATCGTCAAAATGGTATCTCTACGAATCTTAAAATGCTGTGATAAACCTAATTCGCTGCATCCTTAATTTAATTTACAAAAATCTTTAATTGTAATCTTTAATTTACAAAAAGTCACTGTTTACATGTATCTTACGGGAGAATTGTCAAATTGTTAATTTTCTACCTATTCATAAATTGGGTGTAATAAATATGTTTCAAATCACCCATGATTAACGCAAATCTCATGTTAAATATCCGAGCCCATTTTATGTAGGCAGATAATGCTACATGTAGTAATATGTGTTATTATAGTAAATGTTTTATTTTGAACGGTAATTGGTCGGGGTATGTTGATGTGACGTCAGGAGTCCCAAAGAGATGTCCTGGGACGGCTTTTGTTTTTAATTTATAATAATGACGTCTCCGCGGAAAGCTCCTCGTGTAAGAGGTGCGCTTGTTTGCCGACGACTGTCTTGTGTATAAAGAAACTTAAGATCAAACCATGTGCTCTTCTGTTTCAGAGTGGCTAGGACTGCAATTATTGTCGGTTAAGATATTTAAAAGAAAAACGAAACGTGAGTGTCAGCCGAGCATATACCCAGCGCTCGTCTGCTCACTAATTGTAGACCAGTGACATGTGACCATCTGAAATCTTCCCTCCCCTCTGGTCACATCCAGCGACCAAACGTCGAGTCACGCTCCACTCATAGGGGAGGATAAGAAAACAACTTCCGTCTTTCTAAGACGAAGAACGAGAAATAGAGTGACATAAAAGGGACATAAAAGCGGAGAAACAAAGCCGATAAGAGTTTCGGCGTGTTTACTTTGCCACGACGAGTTGAGGCAATCCGAGTGCTCGTTAACTTTTTTTTCTTGTTCTTACGAGGCGCGATGCCCGTGACTTTGTCCAATATGAAGCTCAAGAACAAGCAGGTAGATAGATTTAAAGTGATGTTTGCATTTTTTTCTGCGCGTACATAAAGGCGTCTTGGAATGTTTCCACTGCACACTAGAACGGGAAAGGACCAATGACTGGCATCAGTCCAAGTCCATCCAATGGAGTGAGTCGAGCAAAGCCATAGAGTCAGTGTCGTCTTTGTACTATTCCGCCGGCAGAATGAACAGCCCGTGATGGACTGCCTTAGCCCGCTCTCACAAAGGCCTAAAGGCGCCGAGTGCCGTGGTTGGCTCCGTCGGATCGTTGGTACGACTTAAAGGAAAAGCACAGCCGTGTAAGCTCGTAAACTCTATTCAGCACCACTGTGCGATACTCTCACCGAAAACTCAATCGGAGTTTTTCGTTTTATTTTACTGACGGGCACGAGAGTTTAACGTTTAGGCTTAACTCTCTAGTGCTACGAAAGCCTCAAGCCAACGTTACTAAAACCCTCAGTTCGGAAAATCACCGCTGAAACCTGGGCCGCTGGCGTCCACCGAGACCGAGCTAAATACGACAAAGAGCGCCACTCTTTATCCTTTGTCTTTACTGTGGTCACCTCGATGTTTTACAAAACATGTTGTTGCGTTAAAAAACAACGTAAAAACTATTTCTGTAGTAACATTTATTGGAGCATAGTACAAAATGAAGGGCGCTTGATGTTTTCTAAAATCTTTAGTTTGCAAAGCTTAGCGGCACCATTAATATTGTTTTTATGCAACCATGCCTCAGTGGTGCAGTAGCGCGTCCCGACCTAGGTGCATCCTAAATTTGGGAATAATTCTCGGTGCGTCCGCTTGGGAGACAGGGTTGGCACCCCTCAAACCCCTTCCGCCGTATCTGTTTCGGTGCAAAAATGGCCGATTAACGCCAAAACAGAAGTCATGTGCATTTCCTCGAGTTACCGCTGCGGGAGAATTGGCGGCGTTGCGATCGACTTTCGTTCGGTTCCCGAGTGCGGATCGGTGCCACTTTGTCAGAGCAGTCTCTAGGGCCGTTTCCCGACTGAGGGGTTCTAGTAACGTTACCTCGACCCAATGGGGCCAGTAAAGGCGCGTTCCCACCGGCGATGCGATCCAATCGCGCGATAACTTTCATCGCAAAAGCGACCATCGCGGGCCAAAAGCGACGCGATTTGAGCAGTCGCTACTCGACCCGACCTTTTTTGCGATGCGATCTGGTCGTTGAGCTGCTGAGGCAATCAACGGCGTTCGGAGCGAGAGTTTTCGAGAAACGACTCGCCAACGAAGGCGCTGGACTCGCTCATCGCGCACGCCGGTGTGACCATCTGATCTTTTTTTGCGATGTTATATGGTCGCATCGCGCGACTGCTTCCATCGCCGGTGGGAATGCGCCTTACGTGTCTCGGAAAGCTATAGAAATTCGCTTGTATTTCTACGCGTGTGTTGACGCCCCCTCATTCAATCGAGCGCCACGAATGCGTCGTGACATCGTGTTTTTAGCCTGTGCGTTTTTCTTTCTGCTCCGACTAGCTTTCGGTCCCACTCGAACGACGCGTGAAATGAAGTATACTTCCCCAAATAATCACTTTCTACCACACTATCAAAATTCATTGGGGGCTAGTGTGGTAGACCAACTAAACGGTGGTTTAAAAAGTGCAAAGGACTAAGAAGAGAAGAAGGGGACAGGACAGAGCGGGATGCTGTCCTGTCCCCTCCTGCTCTTCTTAGTCGTTCGCGCTTTTTAAAACACCGTCTCGTTGTTCTACAACACTAGTAGTTTTCTTAGTTTCAAACGGAAAAAAATAAGAAAACCGGTGATTACTCGTTCCAGCTAACAGTGTCGCTTGACCTATAATTTCTAGACGGGAAATAAATTGTATAGAGAGCGAGGGTTTTCTAGAAAGCCAAGAAGGGCCGCGCCAAGAGGAATCCCAAGACGCACTCACTTCCGAGGTCAATGATCTCTCCCGGTATGCTGGAGATGGGCGCCAGGGCAAAGTCGTGGTCCAGGAACTGCCCCCACTGCATGAGCATGTGGCTCGTCTCGCGGGAGGGACGATCGAAGTCCACGTGCACCGTGGTCGACACCAGTCGGGGATTGGGCAGCTCGCCGCCGGTCTCCGAGATGCGAGGGGCCGACACGCCTGCGCCATTCAATGCATTCACTCCGATTCATCGCGGTGCAGAGCAAAGCTTGCCTGCTCACTTTCCCGCAGAGTTTGGAGGTGAGCCATAAACCAAGAAAAATCGTACCCCTCGTATTATTAATTTATTTAACGAGACTGCGATCCCGGGGAGATGCAAGCAGGAGGGGTGCATAATCAAGAAAGCAAAGACACTTTTTTTCCATCCTTATAAAAATGAAAATTAAAACAAAAATAAAACACGGATCAGTATAAGCTAAGGCGTAACAATTGCAAACGTGGCAAAATACCTTTCAACTTAAAATTAAAAAAAAAATCGTATGCAGTGGCATTGCATGCACCACGCGCAAAACCGTCAAAATAAAGCTTCGATACACTGCGCATTTACAAAGTAGGTAACCATGAACGAGGGAACCATTTGGAAAGGAAATACACCTCAGAAACGTGTCTTCATTTGAAAAGCCGTAGGCGGTAATCTATTCTAATCATTGGTTCCATAGGTAAAAAAAGAGAATCCCTATGTGTATTAGTTCACGCAAAAAGAAGTGTGACAGATTGTGAGTGCTTTGTTGTGATCGGGGTTTTGGGGAGTTTTGAATACCAGATGGTTTAGAGTCTACTTTATGACAATAAAAATCGCGACAAAATATTCCTCTGTTCATCTTCCTGCGCACGTGGAGAGGCTGAAGGCCTGCTAGGTTTAGTCTAGCTGACACGGAGTCTCGTCCACGGTATTTTCTGTAAAGAATTCCAGCTGATAACGACTTAATTCTTTCTAATTTCGCAATGCGACCCTTCTGGTGTGGCTCTCATACAGTATAAACGTATTCGAGGGCAAATAAAACGACGGTTCTGTAGGCCAGGAGCGTGACTTCGCTCGGAACATTGTTGAGCCATCGCCTAAGTAAGCTCAATTTTTTTACGGGCCATATAATCACTTTTATAATTGGGGGTAAGCGTTGATTCGGAACGCCAGGGCCGGATCGATAGGAATATCATTTCAGCTGAGACTGTTTGAAAAAAGCACTCTCAAAGCCAGCGCACGAGTTTAGCGGGACTCAAACTGCGTATCAAGACGTTCGCGCGCCCCAGCCTTTACGGTGCTTAAATTCCCCCACACGCAGCTAAGGCACTGTTCTAGCAAGCCGACCCAGATGTAGCATGGCGAATGAAGTAATAAAGCCCAGCAAATATTGTTTTTCAGAAATCGTTACCCGAGCTTGATTTTATGGGTATGTTAATTACCGTGTTGCGGTTCGTGGCTCACATGAAAATGTTTATGGGGAAGTGGTTCTCAGTCTTTTGACTCAACTCAGGCACTATCAAAAACTGGGATGTGGAAACATTTTTGTCCAACGTTCGCTTTATAATACGCCAATAAACGTAGAGAGAGGAGTCAAGGGCGCACGGGGACGTCAAAAGGCCGAGCTTTGGTTCGAAGGATTACACCCACACCGAGCTGTCCTTGTCACCACCGTGTCGAACGCGTTCGAATGCGAGAGCCAAACTCTGGACGCCGCCGTTCCACGTTCTAATCCGTTAGACGAATGCCGTGCAGACAAACGCTACTCTTTGTCTTTCCATTAATTGTACCAACCAGAGCTCGGCATTATGACGGCCTCTCCCGCTGGAAAGATTTTCATTCAACGTTCGATTTATAATACGTCAATAAACGTAGAGAGAGGAGTCAAGGGCGCACGGGGACGTCAAAAGGCCGAGCTTTGGTTCGAAGGATTACACCCACACCGAGCTGTCTTTGTCACCACCGTGTCGAACGCGTTCGAATGCGAGAGCCAAACTCTGGACGCCGCCGTTCCACGTTCTAATCCGTTCGACGAATGCCGTGCAGACAAACGCTAGTCTTTGTCTTTCCATTAATTGTACCAACCAGAGCTCGGCATTATGACGGCCTCTCCCGCTGGAAAGATTTTCATTCAACGTTCGATTTATAATACGTCAATAAACGTAGAGAGAGGAGTCAAGGGCGCACGGGGACGTCAAAAGGCCGAGCTTTGGTTCGAAGGATTACACCCACACCGAGCTGTCTTTGTCACCACCGTGTCGAACGCGTTCGAATGCGAGAGCCAAACTCTGGACGCCGCCGTTCCACGTTCTAATCCGTTCGACGAATGCCGTGCAGACAAACGCTAGTCTTTGTCTTTCCATTAATTGTACCAACCAGAGCTCGGCATTATGACGGCCTCTCCCGCTGGAAAGATTTTCATTCAACGTTCGATTTATAATACGTCAATAAACGTAGAGAGAGGAGTCAAGGGCGCACGGGGACGTCAAAAGGCCGAGCTTTGGTTCGAAGGATTACACCCACACCGAGCTGTCTTTGTCACCACCGTGTCGAACGCGTTCGAATGCGAGAGCCAAACTCTGGACGCCGCCGTTCCACGTTCTAATCCGTTAGACGAATGCCGTGCAGACAAACGCTACTCTTTGTCTTTCCATTAATTGTACCAACCAGAGCTCGGCATTATGACGGCCTCTCCCGCTGGAAAGATTTTCATTCAACGTTCGATTTATAATACGTCAATAAACGTAGAGAGAGGAGTCAAGGGCGCACGGGGACGTCAAAAGGCCGAGCTTTGGTTCGAAGGATTACACCCACACCGAGCTGTCTTTGTCACCACCGTGTCGAACGCGTTCGAATGCGAGAGCCAAACTCTGGACGCCGCCGTTCCACGTTCTAATCCGTTCGACGAATGCCGTGCAGACAAACGCTAGTCTTTGTCTTTCCATTAATTGTACCAACCAGAGCTCGGCATTATGACGGCCTCTCCCGCTGGAAAGATTTTCATTCAACGTTCGATTTATAATACGTCAATAAACGTAGAGAGAGGAGTCAAGGGCGCACGGGGACGTCAAAAGGCCGAGCTTTGGTTCGAAGGATTACACCCACACCGAGCTGTCTTTGTCACCACCGTGTCGAACGCGTTCGAATGCGAGAGCCAAACTCTGGACGCCGCCGTTCCACGTTCTAATCCGTTCGACGAATGCCGTGCAGACAAACGCTAGTCTTTGTCTTTCCATTAATTGTACCAACCAGAGCTCGGCATTATGACGGCCTCTCCCGCTGGAAAGATTTTCATTCAACGTTCGATTTATAATACGTCAATAAACGTAGAGAGAGGAGTCAAGGGCGCACGGGGACGTCAAAAGGCCGAGCTTTGGTTCGAAGGATTACACCCACACCGAGCTGTCTTTGTCACCACCGTGTCGAACGCGTTCGAATGCGAGAGCCAAACTCTGGACGCCGCCGTTCCACGTTCTAATCCGTTAGACGAATGCCGTGCAGACAAACGCTACTCTTTGTCTTTCCATTAATTGTACCAACCAGAGCTCGGCATTATGACGGCCTCTCCCGCTGGAAAGATTTTCATTCAACGTTCGATTTATAATACGTCAATAAACGTAGAGAGAGGAGTCAAGGGCGCACGGGGACGTCAAAAGGCCGAGCTTTGGTTCGAAGGATTACACCCACACCGAGCTGTCTTTGTCACCACCGTGTCGAACGCGTTCGAATGCGAGAGCCAAACTCTGGACGCCGCCGTTCCACGTTCTAATCCGTTCGACGAATGCCGTGCAGACAAACGCTAGTCTTTGTCTTTCCATTAATTGTACCAACCAGAGCTCGGCATTATGACGGCCTCTCCCGCTGGAAAGATTTTCATTCAACGTTCGATTTATAATACGTCAATAAACGTAGAGAGAGGAGTCAAGGGCGCACGGGGACGTCAAAAGGCCGAGCTTTGGTTCGAAGGATTACACCCACACCGAGCTGTCCTTGTCACCACCGTGTCGAACGCGTTCGAATGCGAGAGCCAAACTCTGGACGCCGACGTTCCACGTTCTAATCCGTTCGACGAATGCCGTGCAGACAAACGCTAGTTTTTGTCTTTCCATTAATTGTACCAACCAGAGCTCGGCATTCTGACGGCCTCTCCCGCTGGAAAGATTTTCATTCAACGTTCGATTTATAATACGTCAATAAACGTAGAGAGAGGAGTCAAGGGCGCACGGGGACGTCAAAAGGCCGAGCTTTGGTTCGAAGGATTACACCCACACCGAGCTGTCTTTGTCACCACCGTGTCGAACGCGTTCGAATGCGAGAGCCAAACTCTGGACGCCGACGTTCCACGTTCTAATCCGTTTGACGAATGCCGTGCAGACAAACGCTAGTCTTTGTCTTTCCATTAATTGTACCAACCAGAGCTCGGCATTCTGACGGCCTCTCCCGCTGGAAAGATTTTCATTCAACGTTCGATTTATAATACGTCAATAAACGTAGAGAGAGGAGTCAAGGGCGCACGGGGACGTCAAAAGGCCGAGCTTTGGTTCGAAGGATTACACCCACACCGAGCTGTCCTTGACACCACCGTGTCGAACGCGTTCGAATGCGAGAGCCAAACTCTGGACGCCGACGTTCCACGTTCTAATCCGTTCGACGAATGCCGTGCAGACAAACGCTAGTTTTTGTCTTTCCGTTAATTGTACCAACCAGAGCTCGGCATTATGACGGCCTCTCCCGCTGGAAAGATTTTCATTCAACGTTCGATTTATAATACGTCAATAAACGTAGAGAGAGGAGTCAAGGGCGCACGGGGACGTCAAAAGGCCGAGCTTTGGTTCGAAGGATTACACCCACACCGAGCTGTCCTTGTCACCACCGTGTCGAACGCGTTCGAATGCGAGAGCCAAACTCTGGACGCCGACGTTCCACGTTCTAATCCGTTCGACGAATGCCGTGCAGACAAACGCTAGTTTTTGTCTTTCCGTTAATTGTACCAACCAGAGCTCGGCATTCTGACGGCCTCTCCCGCTGGAAAGATTTTCATTCAACGTTCGATTTATAATACGTCAATAAACGTAGAGAGAGGAGTCAAGGGCGCACGGGGACGTCAAAAGGCCGAGCTTTGGTTCGAAGGATTACACCCACACCGAGCTGTCTTTGTCACCACCGTGTCGAACGCGTTCGAATGCGAGAGCCAAAC